CGGGGGGAGCGCAGCAATTGCCGGCCCGCGGGAGGTAATAAAGCGGCCCTTTTGTGCGCGCCTCCGCGTTCTCACCCCCGCCCCGGGCCCCGAGGACTGGCCGCCTGATTGAATTACGGCTCATGAATATCAGCCGCGCGGCCCGCTTCCTGCGGCTGGGGAGGGACCCGAAGGCGGACGAGGCCCCCGCCCTCCCCGCCGGCCCCAGCCCCACAGGGGCGCAGATGTGCGCCACGTGCACTCACCGTGTGGGGTGTCCGGCGCCCAGGCACCCCAGCAGAGACAGGTGGAAGGGTGGGGGATTCTGCCCTGCAGTCTTGCCACTGTTAGGCTCCCGGAGGGCCCCGGAAAAGCTAACCGTGGCCAACCGAGGCAGGAGCGTTTGGCCAGGCATGCTGTGGACCACATCCGCCTCCTGTAAGGAGGCCGATCCTGTGCTGCGCTTAGGTTGCAAACCACTCAAGGTCAGCAGTTCTGACTCCCCAGCTGTTCCGCGGGAAAAGGATGAGGCTTTCTACTCCCCAATGATTACCAGTCTCAGAAACGCAGCGGGGCAGTTCTACTGTGTGCTATGGCGCTGGCTAGGAGTCCTAACCGACTCTATGGGAGTGGGTTACTCTTTGGGCTAAACGCACCAGCCGCCTGCAGAAAGAAGGTGGACGGTTTCTACTCCTGTCAAGATTTCGTTTCGGAAACTGGAGGGGTCAGTTTGACTCTGGTGCCAGTTGCCAGTTGCCAGTTGCTTGCTTGGCATTTCAAAACCAACAACAGCTCCTCCGATGGAGAAACACTGGGTTTTCTACTCCTGTCCACCGTTACCGTCCCGGAAACCCACAGGGGGTTGCTATGAGTCAGCAGTGACCCCATAGAGATGATTTGTTTTGTTTTGCTTTAATAGACTCAATGTGGCAATTCTAATTGACTCAGTGGCAGGGAGTTTGGCGTCAGTGGTGGAGTGAGCTATTACCAGTGTCTTTTGGAAGATGTAGAGGAGCCCTGGTGGTGCAGTGGTTACACATCGGGCTGCCAACCACAAGGTCAGCAGTTCGAAACCAGCAGCCTCTCCGAGGGAGAAAGATGTGCCCTTCTACTCCTCCCGTTAAGACTTACAGTCTTGGTAACCCACTGGGGGCAGTTGTACCTTTGCCCTATAGGGTTGCTATGAGTCAGCATCCACTAGGCAGTGAGTTTTTGGTCTCCACGATTTGGAAACAGGCTGAGCGAGGCAAAGCTACTTCCTCAGGGCCACACAGTCAGCAAGTGGTGGGCTGGGCGACTCAGCTCCAGGCCGAGCTCACTCCAGTGCCCACTTTTAATTTTTCTAATATTTTACAACATTTTTGGCAAAAGTTGACACAGCAAGTTAGGTCCCCTGGATTGACAATTTTGGCAGAAATTGTTCAGTGACACTAATTACATTTTTTTTTAATTTTAACAATGTGTCAAGGTTCTCTTTATTTCCAGTACTCCAGCTTCCCTGCCTCCTTTATCTTCTCAGCTTTGCTTTTGAGTCATTGTTGACCTTTTGGTCTCCTACTGATGGTTTTTAAGTAAGGCACCTGCCTCATGGGTAATATCCTTTATTTTGTGTGCCACGCTGCTATTTCAATAGAAGGTGAGCTCAAGCCACCAGCTTGGTTCTAAAGTTTAAAGAGTGTCCCTCGAGTTTGTCTCAGGGAGTCCTCTCTGTTCCAGTTAGTCTGACTGTTTTTGTTGTTGTTTTTAACATGAATTTGAGTTCTGCTCCACCTTCTATTCTGTCTATGCAGGACCACCTATGGTGTCCTGGGTGGTAGCTGGGCACCATCTAGTTCTTCTGGTCTCAGGGTAGATGAACCTGTCTGTGGCTCTTGTAGATTTGTTTCTTCCCTAAGCTAACCTTTAACCAGAAGCCGCTGCCTACCCCTGGGGGGGGAAGGGGGGGCTTCAACTTCCTCATCTATAGATGTCAAACAGCCCAGCCTGGGTCTGGAGCCAGGCTCAGAAGGGATGGGGCAGGATTGGAGGGCTTGGGAGGAATTAGACGAGAGAGAGATTACTGGAATGGAGGGGGTGGCAGGGATGAGTGGGAGCTAACCTTGAGAGAGGAGACCGCTCAGAGAACTAAGAAGGACCCCTGATTGGAGGAGAAACCCAGGGTTACTATGCACAGACAGGCAGGGGGTCCTCACTGGCTCCTCTCCCACTCTAAGGCACCCCTATCACACTAAGGCAGTGATTCTCAACCGTCCTAATGTCGTGACCCTTTAATACAGTTCCTCATGTTGTGGTGACCCCCAAACCATAAAATTATTTTCGTTGCTACTTCACTGTTACTTTGCTACTGTTATGAATCAGGCGACCCCATGTGAAAGGGTCGTTTGACACCCAAAGGGGCTGAGACCCACAAGTTGAGAACCGCTGTTCTAAGCCTCCAGGACGGACCCACTCAAACCTGTTTCACCCCCATTCAGCATTGCCTGGGCCTGGAACCCCATCCTCATTGAACTAAGCAGCCAGCTGCATACCCACTGAGAGTCCCTGGGAGGGATGATGGCAACCTTGTCCTCTGGTGAGGGCAGGAGAGCCAATAACCAGGAGCCTAGGGCCACCGGATTTCATGCTCCGTCACCAGGTTTTTTATACCACACCATGTTTTTATACTACAGAAAGGAGACAGCAGTGGGAGGGTGCCAGGGCAGAAGTTGTCATTCTGCTCCACCATGCCCTATGGCTAATGAGGAGTTGGGCTCCAGGACTCTAGTCTGTGCCCCTGTCCACTAAGTCGGGAGTGAGGTGGGGAGCTCAGGTGTTCTGGAGCCAAGGGCATTCAGGGCAGCCCTGTCCCCCTGCAGCTACTGGGCCACATACACCCTTCCTTTGTCAGACCTCAGTTTGCCTCTCTGTAAAACAGGCCAGAGGGCCCCGGAGTTGAGCTGACACTTGCCAAACCTGCTTGTCTCCTGGCCAAGCTAGAACACCAAGGGAAGGGAACAGAAGGAGGCGCCCAATTCTGACAGCCTCGCCTTCCACCTTGGCTGAGGAAGTATAAATACTCGGCGGCCTCCAACTGCCTGTGTTTGTCTGTCTCTGGCGCGCTCCGAATTTGTTTCAAAACTGGGAGGCTTCAAGAGGCAGTGCAAACAGCCTGTCTACCCACTGCTCCCCAGGCCCCCCAATCTGCTGCCACTGCTGCAGGGCTGTCCTTGGAAGGCAGGCTGTGCATGTTTCATCGCAGTACTTAGGCTGGAATTATCTCCCTGCCAAGCCCCAAAGCAGCTTCTCTGGTATTTATGGACCTGTTAACCTAGCATGAGAGTCTGGGAGAAGCCCGCTCTGCCTGCAAATGCTCACTGCAGATGCTGGGGCCTGCTGCTCATTAGGACACCGGACACAGAGACAGAGGGACAGGCACACACACTCCCCCTCTGTCCTCAACTGCCCCCAGGACACTGATCCCACAGACACTGTCTCATTGTCCCAGACCCGTTAGTAGCATCGCCGCCAGCCATGGAAGCCCTAACCCAGTTTTCTAGTCTTTTCTTAGAAATGTGATCACAGCTGCTTCACCCACATCCGACACACCTGGTGGTCATGGCTGGAAGGAACTTCTAGAAGAGCCAGCACAGAGCCAGCGGCCGGATGCTGGGTGGGGGTTCTTGAAGGGCCATGCAGGGCTGTCATTGGGAAGAGAGGGCTGACACCTGACCCCATCAAAGCTGGCCCTTAACAGAGTCATACTTGACTCAGACCTTGGGATGGGTGGACCTGGCCAGCAGCACCTTGCTCACCAGCCACCAACAGGCATCACGCTACTTGTAAATCAAAGGAAAAGTGGCACAGCCAGGAGGCAGGGCTTGGCCAAGGCTCCCCTCACCATGGGCTTGCACCTTCCCTGCGGGGTGGGGGTAAGGGGGAAGTGGTGGGAGAGTGGATGGATCTATCATTGCTTCTCTGAGCAGATACGAGTGGCCTGTTTTAAAGGCTCGGACTCACTGGGGGCCTGGAACCATCAGTCTGTTTCCTGGGTGTACTGGGGTTCAGGGAAGGCCTCCTCTTTAGCAGCATCCCCTGTGAAAGCATAGTCACTCTGTCTGGGAGGCCAGAGCCCCGGGGCTCTGCCAGGCTCCAAGGGCAGAGCACAGAACACCTGTCCTTGGGGGGAGGAGCATCAGCAGAGACAGCTGGCACTGCCTCCCTCCCCCAACCTCACGGAAGAGCTGGGGATTTAGGTCAGAGGACTGCAGTGGGGGGGGTTGGAGAGATCCTACCGTCACCCCTCCACCACCCGTCACCTCTCCACCACCCGTCACCCCTCCACCACCCGTATGCATACAGTCCCAGCATGGTTACAGGCCCTGCCCCCTCCGGCGGTCTTGGGTCAAGGCAAAACGAGTAGCCACAGCAACCTGGTGACGTCAGAGGCCTGGCCGTGACGTCACGCTGGGGGCCCGCACAGGGGAACCTCCGGCCAGTTGAGTTTCGCTATCTCCGAGGAACGCGAGATCGAAGTACCCGGCTGTGATTAGCCCTAGAGCAAGACACTCCTTGAGTGCTGCCACCTGCCTAGCGGGGACCCCACATTCCCTCTGCGCTGAAGCCCCTGGCGATCCCGCAGGAGACGCGGGGACCCCTCTCGCCGTCACACGCAGCTTGTCTCCCTGTCACCTTCCAGGGCGCAGGATCACACGGGGGGAATTTCGGGTAACGTGCCTCTCACTACCTTTGTCTGACAGCTTCAGGGTGGGGTGACCTTTTCTTTCTGGCGTCCGCCCCCAACCCGACCGCAGCCCAGGCCCTACGGAACCACATCACACGACCCGCTTCCCCAGCTGCACGCCGGCCGGATGGACAGTGGGGGTCAGAGTGTGCGTGTGTTTGTTTGGGGGGAGGCGGTAAGAGGGGCAAGGGGCACCACTGTTTCAGGATTCCCGACAGCTCTGACCCCCTAGCAGTCTCGACCAGGCTGCCCCAATGCCAGGGGTGCCTCCAGCTCTGAACCCCGCCCCCGCGGTACTCACCGGATCAGCCAGGCCGTCGAAGGGCACCCACCGGGTGTCAGTGGCGACCTCGCTCCGCTCGGCGGGTCGCAGCCAGGCAGCGGCGGCAGAAGGTGCCGGAGAAAGCCCCGCTCCGGGGCCGATGCCCCTCCAGCCGCAGGCGGCG